TTCTTCTGTTGTACAAGGAAACACTATAATTCCTTTTACTCCGTATTATGTATATACATACATAATATTCGATATAGTAGAGTTAAGCGTGATAATGGAAAATTGAAATATTTTTATTTCCGGATATTAATATTGGATGGAGTAACAATAAATATATCTATCTACCTTATACAATAATCTTGGGACTTTATACACTTTCGCAATTGTGCTGTTTGCAAAGTATTTCCCATAATAACTTCTTATAACACTTTCATTTTTAAATAATTCAGCAAATCTGCATCCTTTTGAATTCAAATAGGGGAAATTGATTCTTTTAAATTGATATTGTCATTGATACCTTGCAAAACGGAACGCCATTAATTTAAAAAAAAATGTGATAACCAGTATTAGGACATGATATTGGAATAAGCCAAACAGCATTTAAATCATTTGGTTAGCATTCAAATTATCATTCAACAAAAAATTGTTTCTATAGAAGAATGTTCTGGAAACTACCTAAGGCCCTATATAAGGCCGGTATAGACCGCGACCGGGACAGTATTGAAATAGCGATATAAGCGAATATTTCGAAGAGATACAACTGCGAACTTAAGTGATCAGTAGAACAATGGTGTTTTATTATTAGGTGATCTTAAGTTGTAATTAGTACTCTGTAATTTAAGTGTCAATTTTGGTAATTCACTCGGCAATTTTTAATTGTCTCGAACCCCAAGCTCGTAACAATATGTTACGTCTAAAAGCTGAAGTGCAGTTAAATCTAGTTCTAGCCGACTATAACTAGGTGCGGCCAGCAGTACTTGGTTAAATTTAGGTGTACTGTTAAATTTATACAAAATATGTTACGTCTAAAAGCTGAAGTGCGGTTAAACCTAGTTCTAGCCGGCTAGAACTAGGTGCGGCCAGCAGTAGTTGGTTAAATTTAGGTGTACTGTTAACTTTTAAAAATACTGAAATACGTATTAAGTAATATCAGCAAGTGCTTATCAAAATTGTATAAACATAAGTCACTCATTGCAGCTTATATAATTAATATGCTGTACTAAAAAAATTACAGCCGTTCATAACGTCAAAAATCGGTTTCTTCAGGATCGATTCCATGGTTTGCTGACCAATTATCTACTTCTGCTGCTGGATTACATTTCATTTTGCAAAAACATGAAGACTGTGCATTTTGCAAAAACATGAACATAACGCCCGTTTTTATTTACCACTATCTGCACCCCCTTTTCCCTAAAGAGGGTCGCTTCCGATTCAGCACAAAGGCCACACAAGCCAATGCTTGTCTCACAGGTGGTATTTAGTGGGTAGGCACTTAGGTTTCGCAGTGAGTCCCACATAACCACGGCAGCCGGTTGTCGTGGTATGCTTAGAGCATTCACCACCTCCCTTCCTCGCTTCCCGGAGTAGCTCTTTCCATTGCATATGGGCGCAAAAAAAAATTACCACTGAAATCATTGTTTTCTACTATTATGTTGGAATAATAGGCGTGAGTGCCTTGTATAATTTTGAAAAAAAAAAAAACATTTTGAACTCCTTTTCTCCGTTTATATCAAAGGAGTTTACTACTTTTATTTATTTTTATAGATCGAATTATGAGATGTAAAGCTAAGTATTCAACGAGTAACGTATTCAATTGAAAATATTTTGCAAAGACACTTTGTTTTTATTAAAATTTCTTTTTTAACACTCAAATAATTGTTTTCTAAAATTATGTTTGGTTAAATTATTTATGAAGAAAACGCTAGTGTTAGTTTAAAAAAGGTGAAAATTTGAAATAGCCCTTTAAAAAAATCTTACATACATTTTAAGCATTAAATGAAATTGTTTCTAGGAAAATGGTTTTAGGTCTTTGTGAGAAAATGCAAAGGCAGGTTCTTGCTGCACCTGCATCAATCAACGTCAGACCAGACTGTGGGACAGTGGGAGGAGATTATCGCGTGAAAGGGCGAGGGGGATAAATTTCAGTTCAGAAAAATATTCCAGAATGCTATGAATCAAAATTAAAACATCATTGGACGTCAAAAATATATTATTATTTATTTATAACTTAATGTAACCGGATTACATTTTATAGCCCTTAGCACAGTTTTTTTATCTTGAACCGTTGAAACCCTGAGCATAAGCCTCCCCTATAGATTACATCATAGGGGGAGGTATTTGCCATAGGTGCCATGTTTGGCAAGCGGGTTGGCAACCGCATTTTAATTAGTCGTTATTAGGAGGACGCTGTTGCCCATCTCCTTATTTGTTTCCCTCTGTCGCCTCTTACGACACCCACGGGATGTTATGAGGTAGTGGACATTCTTACATCACCACTACATGGTGCTCAACTACAACACTAACATCATTTAACGTTTTTATACTTTTGCTACGTAGTACTATTATTTATTTTGTGCTTTTGTTTCTCTCATTAATTCATTACAGATATAATAACGATATTGACTTGCCACATCGCTTAGCATTCATTTTTAATGTTAATCACAATATTATACGAAATTATTATAAATGTCTCGGAAATTCAACAGAAGATCCCACTTCTGATCTCGGAAATACATCAGGATAGCGTTAATTGTTAAAAAACTGTAAAAGTGTAAGAGCGGATGTTCAACTTGCTCACTTGCTCACGCAATTAATCATTATCAATAAAAAGATACATTCAGTATAGACCAATTACAATTCGACCACACCGTAACACGTCCCCGCCACACTCACACACCAGTGTAACGTGAGGGATGTAATTACATGATAACACCAAAGTATGCAAACCAACAGCAACACTACACGTCCATCATAACGTCTCATTGTAACACAGCACATCCTCTCGGCTATACCATCTTCCTTGCCTGCATCAGAAGAATTTCTACACCAAAACAGAACCACGACACTATCTTAGCACTCGTAGATTGACGCAAGCGGAATCTCTGGCCCACGGCTTCTACACTAAACTTTATACTGCACAAACGGGCGGGGGTTTCTCGAAATACCCTCAATTCAACCTCGCTAACATCGATATGAAGCTCCGCTAGAGGGACGCAAACTCTCGCTCACTCGATCCAACCTGTATGTTACATATATCTTTATATATACATATCTGTGCAGGCATTTTTTTTTAAATCTAATATCTCATTTCGTTTCCTAGAAGACGATTATAAAAAAAAGAAAATTTCGCGTTGTTCGATACTTAAATACGGTATACTATCCAGTAATACGATTAATGTTTTGATTAATTTAATGATTAATGATTAATTTTGTAAGTGGTAGAGCCATACTGCAGTTATATCAGTAGTATAGTTGTAGCACAAATTGGCCTCTAAAAAGCTTGGTGTGCTCAGCAGACTGGGACAGTTCTTCATGCCGGCACAACGCCTGCAATTTTTACAAGGCAGGGTCGGCCTCACATGGAATACTGTTCCCATCTCTAGGCTGGGTCTCCCCAGTGCCAGCTCCTTCCACTTGACCGCATCCAGCGCAGAGCGGGTCGAATCGTCGACGACCAAATCCTTTCCGATCGGCTCGATTCATTGGCACTGTGAAGAGATGTTGCATCCCTTTGCATTTTCTTTCGCATTTACCACGGGTAGTGCTCTGACGAATTGTTCGGATTAATTAGAAGATGCTTTCTTCCTCGCAGAACTTCCTTGTGAAATCGATTACCACCAGCCATTTTTCCGGATCTATAGGATTTAGGGACCTTCAAGAAAAGAGCCTACACCTTTTTAAAAGGTCGGCAACGCATCTGCAATTCCACTGGTTCCCCTGGTGTTGTAGTTGTTTATGGACGGCGGTAGTTACTTACCATCAGATAGCCGCATGCTCGTTTGCCCCCTCTCCTTTAAAACATAACGGACGATACACACAGACTACTATATAAGCTTCATCATCATTACAGCTCTTCACAAGTCCACTGCTGAACATAGGCCTCCCCCAAAGAATGCCACAAAGCACGGTCCTGAGCCACCTGCATCCATCGACTTCCTGCATGTCTTACCAGGTCGTCACTCCATCTCGTGGGGGGACGCCCTACACTTCGCCTACAGGTACGAGGCTGCCACTCGAGATCCTTTCTTTCCCATCGGTTGTCGGTTCTTCGAGCTATATGGCCGGCCCACTGCCACTTCAGCTTACTAATCCGTTGGGCTATGGCGGTTACTCTGGTTCTACTGCGGATATCCTCATTCCTAATTTTGTCACGCAGAGAAACTCCGAGCATAGCCCTCTCCATAGCTCGCTGAGCGACCTTGAGCTTCCTCATACGGCCAGCAGTGAAGGACCACGTCTCAGTTCCGTAAGTTATCACTGGCAACACGCACTGTTTGTACAATTTCGTTTTAAGGTTTTGAGGTATGTCTGACGAGAAGATGTGTCGTAGCTTCCCGAACGCTGCCCAGCCGAGTTGAATCCATCGATTGACCTCTCGGTCGAAGTTGGACTTACCTAGTCGGACTATTTGTCCCAGGTAAACATACTCGTCAACAACTTCGAGCTTAGTGCTCCCAACAACTACCGGCATAGGTGTGACATGGACATTAAACATGATCTTTGTTTTGTCCGTGTTCATCTTAAGACTATATAAGCTATATACGAGGGTGGATTGAAAAGTACTCGGCCTAACACAGATCCATTCAGTTCTAAAAATCAAATCTACCCACATTATTTAGTTCAGTTCAGACTAGTTCATTGTGTGAAGTTCGAAACGTCTGCGATAATTAGTTGTGATTTTATAAATTTATTAACAAAGTAATCGGACATAATTTCCGCGAATGGAGCAAATCGAGCAGCGTGCCGTCATTAAGTACCTCCATAAGAAGGGGCTATCATCAAAAGCCATCCATGATGACATGGTCAGTACATTAGGCGATTGTGCTCTGTCATATTCATCCGTCAAAAAATGAATAGCAGAATTTAAGCGTGGTAGAGAGAGTGTGAAAGATGAACCCCGCTCTGGAAGGCCTTCGACGTCAACTACTGACGAAAATATTAAAAAAGTACTTGATTTAATAATGGGAGACCGCAGATTAAAAATTAGAGAGATAGCCGAGATTATAGGCATCTCTTATGAACGAACTCAAAACATCATTGTCAACGAGTTGGGTTTCCACAAGGTGTCTGCGAGGTGGATTCCGCGACTGCTATCAGTTGAACAAAAAAGGACGCGATTGACTATTTCACGCGACTGTTTGGAGTTATTTGAAGCCGATGCAGATGATTTTTTGAATCGTTTTGTTACTATGGACGAAACATGGGTTCATTACTGTACACCGGAAACAAAACAACAATCAAAACAGTGGAGAAGACCTGGTTCACCACCCCCTAAAAAGGCTAAGTCGATTTTGTCGGCAAATAAGGTGATGGCTTCAGTATTCTGGGACTCGAAAGGTGTGATTATGATTGATTATCTTGAAAGGGGTCAGAATATAAACTCTGATTACTACTGCACCTTACTACGTCGTTTACGAGAGGAAATAAAAGAAAAACGTCGAGGAATGCTCAGAAGAAAAGTCCTGTTTCATCAAGATAACGCCCGTGTTCACACGTCAGTACAGTCAATGGCTGAAATTCACAACTGTGGCTTTGAACTGTTACCGCATCCGCCGTATTCACCTGATCTGGCACCATCAGACTTCTTTCTGTTCCCTAACCTAAAAAAGCACTTGGGAGGTCGAAGATTTTCGACAAACGACGAGGTCAAAGCAGCTGTAGATGCATATTTTGACTCTAAGGAAGAATCATTTTTTTTCAACGGTCTAAATGCTTGGAAGGGGAGGTGGCAAAAGTGTATTGAACTTGATGGTGATTATGTAGAGAAATAAAAATATAACTGATTTAGTATGTGTTTATTTTCTTGGTTAGGCCGAGTACTTTTCAATCCACCCTCGTATAAGCTTAGCTTTTGATAAATAAAAATTTAAGCTTCAATGTAATATGTAATGTGCATAAGTTTTTAAACATTGAAACCAAAAATTAAAGAAAAATCTTACATATTATTGATATATTTTCCATTAAAATATAGAAGAATATGTATAATTTAATCTGCACAACGGGATGGTTTTACCTGTATCCCAACATTAACAGTGAATTATATGGGGCAGTAGATTCTCTTACGGCATCACCACATGCTACATAAGATAATGAATAAATTACACTATTTTACACTATTGCGAAGTTACTTCCGTGAGCTTAAGCGACTAGGGGAAAAAACATTATCCACAAATACAGCCGAGCCGTGGTAGCTCAAGGGTTTAGCGCTCGCTGTAAATTTCACAGTGCGCGAGCAACCCCCGGGTTCTATCCCCGACGGCAACAATGAAATTGTTAATTGCAATTTAAAGTGCTGATTTACCACGTGCTGGGCGGTGAAGGAAAACATCGTGAGGAAACTTGCATGTATGAGAAATAAAAAATAAAAAAATATTTCAACGACATGTGAAGTCCACCAATACGCAGTTGAGTAGCGCGGTGGATACTTTCTTGTACTAAAACCCTCTCAGAAGTGCGAAGAGGCCTGTGCCCAGCGTTGAGACGTATATTGACTGTAACTACTGTAGTTAAAATGTATTAGTATTAAATTTACCTAGGAATTGATTTCATACATGATAGAGCCACGCTGCAGTAATATTAAGCTTATAACATGAATGGATTAGCTCGACAGGAGAAGTACGATGCTCTCACAAAATATCAGCGTAAAATAGCTTAATGCTGCCGTGTTTCGTATGTTGAGCGTAGAGAACCGAAGACCCTTTTTAGTGGAGACGAGGCCTTTTATCCTGAGAAGTCACAACCCATTCTGCATTTTGATTCTTAACCGTAAACAGATATAGATGTTTATGGACCACAGTATCTACTGGGAGAGTGTGCGCGTATGTCACCTTTTTCTATAAAAATAATTGAGTACCGTGAACCGTCCTTGTTCTCCAAAATAATGGAATCCATTATAAACTGCCAGCTCACGAGGTACCTTGAGGATCACCAGCTGATTAGTGACCTCCAGTACGGTTTTCGTCGGGGTCGATCAGCTGGTGATCTTCTAGTCTATCTGACTCATAGTTGGGCGGAGGCAGTAAAGTCCAAGGAGGAGGCATTGGCCGTAAGTTTGGACATAGCGAAGGCCTTCGATCGGGTCTGGCACAAAGCGCTTCTTTCGAAGCTTCCTTCCTATGGGTTTCCCGAGAAATTGTGCAAATGGATCACCAGTTTCCTTGCTGATCGGAGCATCAAGGTCGTAGTAGACGGTGCATGCTCTGATTTCAAGCCTATTAACGCTGGTGTTCCACAAGGCTGCGTGCTATCACCAACGCTGTTTCTCCTGCATATCAATGATATGTTGCAAACTGGTAGCATTCATTGCTATGCGGACGACAGCACTGGTGATGCCTTATATACCGGCCGTATCAATATTTCTCCGGAAAACGTCGCTGAGTACCGGGGCAAACTTGTGTCTGAAGTCGAGTCTTTGCTTAACAAAGTCTCGGATTGGGGGAGACTGACGAGAAGATCGTGGAGCTGGAAGAAGAGATAGACAAGTTGCGCTGGCATATTATAGGATTATCCGAAGTCCGAAGAGAGGGGGAGGACACGGTAATCCTCGAATCCGGCAACTTGCTCTATCACCGGGAGGGCGACCATCTGTCCCAAGGAGGTGTCGGATTTATCGTCCACAAGTCTCTCGTTAACAACGTTGTAAAGATCGGGAGTCTGTCGACGAGGGTTGCGTACCTTATACTCAGAATCACCAAACGGTATTCGCTGAAGGTCATACAGGTTTACGCACCAACCTCGGCACACCCCGATGAGGAGGTGGAGGAAATGTATGAGGATATCTCTAGAGCCATGCATTCCTCCAAAACCCAATATACGGTGTTAATGGGAGACTTCAATGCAAAACTAGGCACAAGAGAGAACGGTGAGCTGAAAGTAGGGAAATTTGGAATAGGGCAACGGAACCCAAGGGGCCAGCAGCTGGCCGACTTCATGGAGAAAGAGGGACTCTTTATGATGAACTCTTTCTTCCAGAAGCGGCCCCACAGGACGTGGACCTGGTCGAGCCGCGACGGTTCGACAAAAAATGAGATTGACTTCATTATGACGACCAGACGACAACTGTTCAGTGATGTCTCCGTGATCGCGAGGGTGAAAACTGGTAGCGATCACCGAATGGTTAGAGGCACACTGAACCTAAACGTTAAGTTGGAGAGGTCTCGTCTAATGAAGTTAACGCTCCGTCCCCCTCGTGCTCTGTTCCAAAGTCCCGAAACCTTTCAGCTCGAGTTACAAAACCGTTTTCAGTGCCTGGAAAACTGCAATGAAGTGGACGATATGAATGACAAGCTCGTGGAAACTGTTCATGCGGTCGGAGCTAAGTTCTGCAAGACCCGCCGCAGAAGAACACAAAAACTCTCCGATCACACTCTTAATCTCATGGCTGTTAGACGGGAGGTGAAGCTACATTCTTCAACAGACTTGACAGCATACATGCATCTGAACAGATAGCGCGCAACTTCAATACAGCTCGTATTGAAGAAGCGATCGAGCGGAACCAAGGCTCCAAAGTCTTTGCCAGAGATCTGTCTGCCAGAAAGAGCCAACTGTCAAAGCTGAAGACAAAATGTGGCAGCATCGTTTCCGGGACACCTGAGATTTTGAGTGAGATTGAGAGGTTCTATGGGCAGCTGTACACATCATCGTTGGAGCCATACGCAAGTGTGAGTAACGATCCAAGAGCAAGTCTCATCCGACACTATTCCGAAGATATCCCGGACGTCAGTCTGAGCGAGATTAGAATGGTTCTCCAGCACCTTAAAAACGGTAAGGCCCCAGGCGAGGATGGAATATACATATATATGGAATATACAGCGGAGCTTCTGAAAGCGGGTGGAAGACCGGTACTTGAAGTCCTTCAGAAGCTCTTTAATTCCGTCCTCCATGGTGGCATTACACCGGAGGCGTGGAGCAGAAGTGCGGTGGTCTTGTTCTTCAAGAAAGGTGACAACGCTCTCTTGAAGAACTACAGGCCGATTTCCCTTCTGGGCCAAGTCTACGTGCTGTTTTCGAGAGTCATTACGAATCGTCTCGCGCGCAGACTTGACGACTTCCAGCCTCCCTAATAAGCCGGTTTCCGAAAGGGCTTTAGCACCATAGACCACATACATACCCTTCGGCAAATTGTACAAAAGTCCGATGAGTACAATTTGCCACTATGTCTGGTGTATGTGGACTATGAGAAAGCCTTTGATTCCGTCGAAATTTGGGCGGTGCTGCAGTCCCTTCAGCGGTGCCAAGTGGATTGTCGGTATATCGAAGTGTTGAAGTGCTTGTACAGTAGGGCTACGATGGCTATCCCAGTACAGAACCAGAGTACGAAACCTATCCAATTGCAGAGAGAGAGCACTATGCTCAATGACCTCAATAGTGTTTCCCAACGGATAGGTCTTAAGATGAACATGGACAAAACAAAGATCATGTTTAATGTCCATGTCACACCTATGCCGGTAGTTCTTGGGAGCACTAATCTCGAAGTTGTTGACGAGTATGTTTACCTGGGACAAATAGTCCGACTAGGTAAGTCCAACTTCGACCGAGAGGTCAATCGACGGATTCAACTCGGCTGGGCAGCGTTCGGGAAGCTACGACACATCTTCTCGTCAGACATACCTCAAAACCTTAAAACGAAATTGTACAACCAGTGCGTGTTGCCAGTGATGACTTACGGAACTGAGACGTGGTTCTTCACTGCTGGCCGTATGAGGAAGCTCAAGGTCCCTCAGCGAGCTATGGAGAGGGCTATGCTCGGAGTTTCTCTGCGTGATAAACTTAGGAATGAGGATATCCGCAGTAGAACCAGAGTAACCGACATAGCCCAACGGATTAGTAAGCTGAAGTGGCAGTGGGCCGGCCATATAGCTCGAAGAACCGACAACCGATGGGGAAGAAAGGTTCTCGAGTGGCATCCTCGTACCGGTAGGCGAAGTGTAGGGCGTCCCCCCACGAGATGGAGTGACGACCTGGTAAAACATGCAGGAAGTCGATGGATGCAGTTGGCTCAGGACCGTGCTTTGTGGCATTCTTTGGGGGAGGCCTATGTTCAGCAGTGGACTTGTGAAGGCTGTAATGATGATGATGAAATCTAGTCCAGTTCAATCCTCAGAAGACACAAGTTTGCGCGTTTACTGCTAAAAAGCACCCCTTAGTCGTATCTCCTCAATTTCAAGGCACTCCCCTTGCTGCTTCAATCCTTGGCGTCGACATATCGAGTAGCGTGCAGTGTCGTGGTCACTTGGAAGGGAAGGCCAAATTCGGCCCCACATGGAATACTGTTCTCATCTCTGGGCCGGGGCACCCCAGTGCCAGCTCCTTCCACTTGACCGCATCCAGCGCAGAGCTGTTCGAATCGTCGACGACCGAGTTCTTTCTGATCGTCTCGATACACTGGCACTGCGTAGAGATATTTCATCTCTTTGCGTATTTTATTGCATCTATCACGGGGAGTGCTGTGAGGAATTGTTCGGATTAATTCCAGCCGCTCAATTTCACCATCGCACATCGCGACAAAACTCGCGTTATCATCCATACCATCTGGATGATTGGCGGTCCACCACTGTGCGATTTAGAAGAAGTTTTCTCCCTCGCACAACTTCCTTGTGGAATCGATTACCATCAGCTATTTTTCCGGACTGATACGACTTAGGAACCTTCAAGAAAAGAGCTTACACCTTTCTAAAAGGCCGGCAATGCATCTGCAATTCCCCTAGTGTTGCGGTTGTTCATGGGCGGCGGTAGTCACTTACCATCAGGTGAGTCGCATGCTCGTTTGCCC